TTTTTATCAGATAGTGTTTAAAGTTTTCGAGAGTGAAACGCAGTTTTCGAACTTTTATTTTGAAAGCGCGGCGCATAGTTATGACGACACAGTGGCGAAGGTGAAGCGGTCCGGCGAGTTAATAGTTGTTCTTAACTCTTTGCTCAAAACATTGCTTTATTTCTGAGTTGCGGCTAGTTTTAATATATGCCAAAGCAACAGAGGGCAGTATAATGTGGATACTGACGCCCCAGCAGCAGCCTACAGGTAACATTTCGTGTCATGACGGCGTTTTATAGAAGCTTTATTTATGACGCTGCAGGCCGGGCAAAGTTAGCACCTTGATGATGGAGTTAGCAGCTATCTGAGAAACACTAGACTAAAGCATTTAAAGCATGGTTCACACAGGAGGCATCTGTCTGGTTAGCAGCCCGTTAGGCTGCATGTTTGCTGTGCTGTCATGTGTTTATACTCTGTGTTAATTTAATGTTGCTAAACAGGTTAATGTGTTATCTAAGCATGATGCTTTGGTTCTAAATGAGCTTATGGGAAGTTGAAATTAATGGTAGCAACTATAAACAAGACGTCAAATGATCTGAATTTAAATGTTTCCAGCAGTCAAAGTCAAAAACTCAAACCTTTTTTCTAATTAATGACCTGAATGTGTAATTAATAAGATTTATGTATGGATTGATTTACTATAGGAGCACAACTTCTTACACCACAGGTAACCTGTAGGTAGAAGAGGATTTGATCGCTGCTTTGTCAGTCATGTGCTCTATCACATGACCCTCAGTTATTTATACAAAAAACCCAAAACAAAACAAAACCAGGTTTGTTCTGGGAATTTTGATTTTACCCAGAAAACAAATATCAAAGATATAAAGAATGTGGGTCATTTTGCGATAACGTTTTGTGTGTTACAAGATAAAATGTACAATTTTCTTAAAAAATTCCTGGATGCAAAACTTCAAAAGGGGATAACTTTTAAGTTGAAGAAAAGATAAGAAAATCACTAACCTGCCATCTGTCACTCACAGCTGAGGCCTGCTATCTCCTCTCGGGTAAAGCGTACGTGGTGGGCCGAAAGAATTGTGACATTCTTCTTCCGAGTGACCAGTCTATCAGCAGGGCTCACGCTCACCTAAGTGCTACAGAGCAGGTGAGACAAGGCAGGGAAAGGATCAGGTAGTATGAACAGAGAACAAACAGTTGTAGTGTTTATATACAGTTTATACACACTCAGTGGTAACTTTATTAGGTACACAAGTGAAATCTGTTGCAATCAAATACAGCTGTGCTGTCCTGGGCTTTAAATGTGCATTTTTTACTCCCTTTTAATCATTGTTTGCAGTGTATGTAACAACACAAACCCTGCTACTGCTATGACAACAAGCTTTAATCTTTAAATCTTGCATGCTTTTATTTGATCAAGGCTAGACTAATGTAGATGCTGGTCTTAATGTTTTCCATTGCAGTTTTGCAGCTGTTTCAAAATGC